GTGTCTGTGATGGTCTGATAAGAGTTGTCTTTAAAAACCGTCTGAACCGGCCACAGAAGAGAACTCAGGAGGTGAAGTGAGACACGATGCTGCCGGTTCTGCTGCTGCTCCTACCAGCCCTCAGTCCGGCTGTGGCCTGGATTGTAAGTAACTCTTATTTTCTGCTGTAACATGGACACAGACTGATCAGATATTTTTGTATTAACTTTTTTTAATTTGAATTTTTAGCCAGTAAACGATTGGGAATCTGGAAATGTGACCGCGTCAGTGGGGGAGTCAGATCAGTGTGTTTGTCATGTGTACCTGCCTGACACCACCTTCCCTGCCGACCGCCTTCAGCATGTGCAAGAAACCAGCAAGGATCTGATAGTGGAAGTGGACATCCAAATAAACAAGGTGCAGTGGGACTGCCCAGTGGCATGAGGTCTGTGAAAAAAAATGTGCTGTGGTCGGATGCTGTTATTGTAATCCTCACCTCAATTCTTCTCTTTTAGATGGTGAGTTATGAGGGCCAGCTGGAGGTCTATCTAAACCAACTGAAGAACCTGACAGTTAGATTGTCCATGCTGCAGAACAGCACTGAAGATTACATCAAACTGGACTTTGAGTTGCTCAGGGCTGAGCTCAGAGATTTTGAGGCTCTGGTGTCTCAGCTCAGAGACTCCCTGAGCTCCTCCTCGCCCATATTCGACAGTCTCTACACGGAGGTGAAAAGTCCTTTTTGAAGCTACAAATAATGTAGAATCTCTCTTCTTTATTACAGCATTGGACTTCCACTTAATGTTTTTTTGTTTCTAGATCCACAACATGACAGACATTGTGAACCAACTGGAGAGTTATGACAAGAGCAACCTGGTAGTGATCCGCGCTGAGTTTGCTGAGCTGCAGAGGAAGCTGAAGGAGTGCCAGGAGGAGCAAGATTCAATCCAGCCAGATATTGGTAAGGCAGCTATCCGAAATGCTGGATGATAGTGTACAGTTTGGGTTTTTGCTAAACACTGCCAACATGTTTGGTTTCTTTCCAGGCAACTGCAATCATACAGGAATCATGAGCATCAGCAAACCAGTGGTGATCCAGCTCAATGCTCACTTGTCTCCAAGTTACCGGTACGGCGGCTGGGGAAAAGACTCCAAACCTCAACCAGGTCATGAGTCGATGTACTTCTATCTTGCAAACACCTCTGCCACAGTCCATGACTTCAGCTTGTACTCTGACTATGAAAATCTCATTCTGAGGTCTCCATTCACAACCTATTCCTTACCAAGTTCGGCAGTAGCTACTGGAAACAATTACATTGTTTACAATAATAAGTTATTCTATCAGCGCAAAGCTCCGTACATGTTGGGCAAATGGTATCTGACCAATCCCTCAGGTGTCGGCTCAAAGATTCCAGGTGCTAGTACAGAGTTCTCTTACAGTTACTCAGATAATCAGTACCTGGACTTTTCAGCTGATGAAACTGGGCTGTGGGTAATCTATGCATCAGATAACAATGGTAAGATGGTCCTTGGTAAATTTAAATCTGACAGCTCTTCGAGCTTAGAGAGAACCTGGTATACTGGCATCTTAATGGAGATGGCGGGCAACGCTTTCATGGCCTGTGGAGTCATGTATGCCACCAGACCAGTGGATCCCAAGACTGAAGAGATCTTCTATGCATATGACACCAAGACCAGGGAGGAGAAGCACCTCAGCATTCCTTTCCAGAAGTTCCAGGAGACATACACCAACCTGCACTACAATCCCACCGATCAGAAGCTCTACATGTACAACAACGGCTACTACGTCACCTATAATGTGAGATTTAACAAAGAGTGATTCCATCTCTTTGAGATCGACCGTATTGTGATTGATACGATTGATCTGCATTTACTTGTTGTCACTGAAACCCCATAAAGACATGTTCTGTAACACACAGACTTCTGTCTTTTCCTGAATAAAATCAAGTCGAAGCATTCAAACAATGTTAATTGCTTTAATTGTATAAATTTATAAATAACACACATAATCCGGGCTGGGACGTCGACGTGGGTTTGTGGACTGCTGGCGCGGACAGGTCGTATGGAGGTTAGTGTAGAGGAGTGAGAGAGGCAGGAGCGTAACCAGTCGTGAGCAGATGATTCAGGGAGCGACGGAGAAATCTCAGGTCTGGTGCAGGTAGGTTGTGGGGAACCACATGTGAGGAGCGGGTACACTGGGAAAAACCACCGGTGAAGGAGAGAGACAATTACTAGGGTTAGGGTTTAGGAGGTTCAGGAAGAAGCACGAGAAAAACTTGGGAGGAGGCTTGACATTACCACGTAGGTTAACACTCAGGCAATGAGTGACTGGCAGCCAGCTCCTTTTGTCCACGGAGTAATGAGCCTGATGAACTGCAGGTGTGTGAAGAACACACCTGCAGGAAATAAGCCCCAGCACAGCAGACATTCTCCAGGACGCCCTCTGGTGGAAACCTGCAGGAGAACACAAACACAGCCCAAAAACCCCATTCCCTGACACAAATACTGTTAAACCAAATACCTTCTACTGTAATATCAGCTAACTCATACAAGGACCATATATATATATATATATATACACACCCCACGAGATGACCTCATCCATTCCTGTGTCAGGAATCGTCGTCAGACCTCCAGGGACCTTTAAAATGAGTGGGCACTGTCGAGAGATGTGACTCGTTCAGCAAGGACAGCTTGAAATCAACTTCTTGAATCTGATCTGAAGTCACACAGGGCACGGAAGAAGCCCTTCATCAACGAAGGTAGAGGAAAGCCTGGTTACTCTGTGCTGGGATCACAAGGATTGGACTGGTGATGATTGGGCTAAGGTTCTCTTCAGTGATGAGTCCAATTTTCAGTTGATGTCCACTCCAGCCAACTTACTGGTTCAGAGGAAACCTGGAGAAGCCGACAAACCAGACTGTCTGGCCCCTACAGAAAAACATGGGAGTGGATCAGTGATGATCTGGGCTTGTTTCAGTGGGTGGAACAGGGCAAACGCAACTGTGTGAAGGGCGAATGAAGCAGGTCATGTACAGGCTACTCTTGAAAACAGTCTTCTTCCATCAGCTGGAAAACTCTTTCCTGCCTCCAATGACTGGATTNGTTTGGGTTTTTGCTAAACACTGCCAACATGTTTGGTTTCTTTCCAGGCAACTGCAATCATACAGGAATCATGAGCATCAGCAAACCAGTGGTGATGCAGCTCAATGCTCACTTGTCTCCAAGTTACCGGTACGGCGGCTGGGGAAAAGACTCCAAACCTCAACCAGGTCATGAGTCGATGTACTTCTATCTTGCAAACACCTCTGCCACAGTCCATGACTTCAGCTTGTACTCTGACTATGAAAATCTCATTCTGAGGTCTCCATTCACAACCTATTCCTTACCAAGTTCGGCAGTAGCTACTGGAAACAATTACATTGTTTACAATAATAAGTTATTCTATCAGCGCAAAGCTCCGTACATGTTGGGCAAATGGTATCTGACCAATCCCTCAGGTGTCGGCTCAAAGATTCCAGGTGCTAGTACAGAGTTCTCTTACAGTTACTCAGATAATCAGTACCTGGACTTTTCAGCTGATGAAACTGGGCTGTGGGTAATCTATGCATCAGATAACAATGGTAAGATGGTCCTTGGTAAATTTAAATCTGACAGCTCTTCGAGCTTAGAGAGAACCTGGTATACTGGCATCTTAATGGAGATGGCGGGCAACGCTTTCATGGCCTGTGGAGTCATGTATGCCACCAGACCAGTGGATCCCAAGACTGAAGAGATCTTCTATGCATATGACACCAAGACCGGGGAGGAGAAGCACCTCAGCATTCCTTTCCAGAAGTTCCAGGAGACCTACACCAACCTGCACTACAATCCCACCGATCAGAAGCTCTACATGTACAACAACGGCTACTACGTCACCTATAATGTGAGATTTAACAAAGAGTGATTCCATCTCTCTGAGATCGACCGTATTGTGATTGATACGATTGATCTGCATTTACTTGTTGTCACTGAAACCCCATAAAGACATGTTCTGTAATACACAGATTTTTAACTGTCTTTTCCTGAATAAAATCAAGTCGAAGCATTCAAACAATGTCACTTGTCTTAATTGTATAAATATATAGATAACACAAATACAGAGTTACTAATACATGAAATAGGTGCATGGTTTAAACTTCCAGATGATAAGATTGAACAATAAAAGCAGCATGCAGTGTGAGTTAGATTCACTACGTCGTTTCTATTAAGTGATAAAAACAAATATAGAAGTCAGTGATGTGCTGTCTATGCTTCAAAGTGTTGTGAAGCAGAAAAACTTAACATTTGAAATCATAGACTTTATCTGTGCACACAGATCAACATTTACTGAGTCATGATAAGAGTTAAAATGAACAGAAACATAAAGCACAAACACATAAAGGTGTGCATTTGTCGATAACAGGTTGACCAAGATTTTATATCCACTGAGTTGTGATTCTATGGGTGGGAGCTGCAGAATCATCCAAATTAAATATGAAAAATAGAACATATTTAAAATGTTTTTTCTCTAGACTTTATTAAAAATCTACAAATACTATTAAACCAAATACCTTCTACTGTAACATCAGCTAACTCATACATATATATAGTTCAAACCGTACATACAAACACTGTTTTTTTTTTTCTCACTGTCTGACATTAAATCAGATGAAGCTTTTCCTGTTTTGGGTCAGTTAGGATTATTAAAATTATTTCTATTTGCTAAATGCCAGAAAAATGTTTTTTTTTTTAGCGAATTTTCTATTACAGATTTAAGACTGAGGTCACNGTATAAATTTATAAATAACACACATAATCCGGGCTGGGACATCGACGTGGGTTTGTGGACTGCTGGGGCGGACAGGTCGTATGGAGGTTAGTGTAGAGGAGTGAGAGAGGCAGGAGCGTAACCAGTCGTGAGCAGATGATTCAGGGAGCGACGGAGAAATCTCAGGTCTGGTGTAGGTAGGTTCTGGGGAACCACATGTGAGGAGAAGGAGAGAGACAACTACAAGGAGGTTCAGGAAGAAGCACGAGAAAAACTCGGGAGGAGGCTTGACATTATCACGTAGGTTAACACTCAGGCAATGAGTGACTGGCAGCCAGCTCCTTTTGTCCACGGAGTAATGAGCCTGATGAATTGCAGGTGTGTGAAGAACACACCTGCAGGAAGTAAGCCCCAGCACAGCAGACATTCTCTAGGACGCCCTCTGGTGGAAACCTGCAGGAGAACACAAACACAGCCCAAAAACCCCATTCCCTGACACAAATACTATTAAACCAAATACCTTCTACTGTAATATCAGCTAACTCATACAAGGACCATATATATATATATATACACACACCCCACGAGATGACCTCATCCAGTCCTGTGTCAGGAATCGTCGTCAGACCTCCAGGGATCTTTAAAATGAGTGGGCACTGTCGAGAGATGTGACTCGTTCGGCAAGGACAGTTTGAAATCAACTTTTTGAAGCCTATCTGAAGTCACACAGGGCACGTAAGAAGCCCTTCATCAACGAAGGCAGAGGAAAGCCTGGTTACTCTGTGCTGGGATCACAAGGAATGGACTGGTAATGATTGGGCTAAGGTTCTCTTCAGTGATGAGTCCAATTTTCAGTTGATGCCCATTCCAGCCAACTTACTGGTTCAGAGGAAGCCTGGAGAAGCCGACAAACCAGACTGTCTGGCCCCTACAGTAAAACATGGGAGTGGATCAGTGATGATCTGGGCTTGTTTCAGTGAGTGGAACAAGGCAAACGCAACTGTGTGAAGGGTGAATGAAGCAGGTCATGTACAGGCTACTCTTGAAAACAGTCTTCTTCCATCAGCTGGAAAACTCTTTCCTGCCTCCAATGACTGGATTATCCAACAAGACGATGGCCCATTGCCACACGGCAAGGTCAGTTAAAGCCTGGATGGAGAACCAGAACA